TATAATTATGTACTATATTCAGAACTATTACAGAAATGCAAATTTCATTAACAATTTTTATGTAGAATATTTTATGAAATTTATATAATTCCATTGATATGATTACATTTCACTTAGTCATTAATATTTTAAGGATAACTAAGGATTAATCCAAATTATATCTTTAAGTAATAAATAATTTTATACTAATATATCAATATAGTGATGCTATCTGTATACTTACATATGAATTTTCATTATTGGCTATAGAAGAGTAACCAGGTTCATAATCTGATATAATCCATGGTTTATGATTATAAGTTTGGATAGTAGATTTGGCAGCAGGAAAGGAATATGATGGTCTGCAATATTTTAAAAATTATATTTTTATTTGCAAATAATGATGTTGCATTGTATTATTTATATATTGCAAGTCAAAAGCTCAATGACTGAAATTTGAGTTACAGTATGATATTCCTTTATGTCATATTACAGCAATAATTACATTAAATCTCTTACATCTAATTCAAAAGCTTAACAAATAAATCTGATAATCATTATTGCTTTTTATTCAAAATTTTAATTCTAACTGTAATATATATTTTATTTAATTCTCAAAATAAAAGTGTTTCTAATATTATCTTCTGTCATCTACAAAACAATAAAGAAAAAAAAATATTAAACTAGCAACAAATATTCTTAACTTACTTTTCTGCTTCTTTCAAAGATTTTTCTTTTGCTTTATTAGTCACTAGAGTTTTACTTTTATTTTTTATGCTTGAAGACTTTTCTGAATACAATAATGATGATAAATACATTTTATTAACATTTAAAATAATTAACAAATTAGAAGTTGTTATAGTTTCAAATTTTAAACAAAAAAAATTAAATGTTTTATGAACATAAATAAATTGTTCACAAAATGTATAAAATTCAATATAGGCAATAAAAATAATCAATAAATAGACAGCTTGATTCATGTGATAATTCATATGAATTGAGCTGTCTATTCATTTTTACTTTTACTTTATGAAACATTTTCCATCATAATCTGACATCTTCAGCTCAACAATGTTTACAAATAACAGGAATAAAATGACTTTGAACAATTTATTAGAACAATAATAACAATAATATCAACTTAATAAATAAATTAAATAAATATTATTTACAATCCAGATATTTAATTTACTTACAATCTTAATAATGACAAAAATTAATNTGAAATGTTTTCTTTATAAGAGAAAATTTATACTAATTATAAAAGCTGAAAGCCTTACAATAAGCATTCATAAAGTAGTAATCTATTATATATTCAAAAAATAATATTTTATGATAAAATTTTTTAAATTAGATTATGATAAGAATTTGATTTAGTCATGTTATAGAATCAAAAAAGATTAAATAAATAAACAATTCTTTATTAAAATGTATTTGATTTATTAACACTATGAATTTATCAAACATATTTTAATACCCTAATGAATAAGTAGATGTCTAGATCAATATTTTCCAATTACTGTGTATTGATGATGAATGAAACAGGAAAAAATCTGATTCAATAAGCAATTTTATTTTTCCTGTTGAAACTACTTGCACTGCTTAAAATATGCAGAAGCAGTCTCCACTTGACTTTGCCTCCCTCTACATCAAACACAAACTGATAACTTTGATTCATTTTGTCTCTCTATGATCCATTTACTTATTGCAATTTATTTATTTTATCATAAATATTTTTCTGTTATTTAAGAAATACAGAATTTTATTCTCCTAATGTAGGAATTTCATTACAAGTACTAAATGCTATTTAGAGTAAATCAGTTAAAGTAGTGTTTGGACTTATTAAACAATGATAATGAATTAATCTAAATTAATTTCAAATCACCAATGCCATTTGTAGAAATTGATCATTTGAAAATTTGTTACAATAAACCAGTTATGCAGTTGTGTTATCATCCAAACACAACAGACAGACCAATCTCAAAATTTTTCAAAACTGCATACAACTGGTTAAAGTTTAAAAAACAGTGTTAACAACTCTACATTTGCAACGGTTCTAACGGTTCTAAAAATGTCAGTTTATTATTCAAATTACTCAGAGACTGGTTTTTTGGCTCATTTATTTAAAAAAATAAAATCAGGAAGTTATTATAATTGTCTTAAACTGACTTAAGTCTATAAAATATACTTGAATAGTAACTAACAACAATTTACAGATTAAATACGTTTTTAATACATAATTAAATAATTTAATTTAAGTTTTAATCAGAAATTCACCCAACTCATTAAGGAAATTATGACACTAGGTAATTAATTAATTTTAATAAATTCTTAATAATGACTTAAAATGAATGATTATTTAATTACATTAAATAATTTATATTAAAATCTAATTTTACTTAATTATCATAATTAAAAATATCACTAGATTATTTTCAAGCATACTAATGTGAGAATTTTCTATACCTTATATTATCTTCACATTTATTTAAAATTACATCATCCAACTTGGTAAGAAAATCCTAAAATCAGTATTAAAAGAATTCTATAATAAGAGTATCATTAACAAATCAATACAAGTAACAATAAAACTATTTACATCTTGCAATTTATGTTTACTACTTTCAGGTCTTTTGACATTTTGAACTGGACTATGTAACGGTGATGTGTATCTTTGAGAGTCATCTGTAACAATTTATTTTCTTTTATTTCACATATTTAACAGTAAAGGAAAATCATTCAATTTGTTAGTTATTTTACATTAAGAATATTAACCATCTTGACTGTAGTTTTATATGCATAAAAATGGCATAGCTATTGGACAAGTTAGGAAGTTTTAAAAATGGCAGTTAAAATTATATCTACTATTATAAAGTTATACTTTATTTCACATTATAAAATAATAAATTATTATACTATTAATTCATTATATTTATTAAAAGTAAAATTCATTAAAAATTTATAGATTAATACAAAAGATGATCATTTTCCTATGAAAACAGTTAAAATATGTTCCTATTGATTAATTTTCAGTTTAAAATCAATGTATAATAAAAACTTTACTGCCTTTATGTTATAAATTTAAATTTTTATGAATAAAACCTGCAAGAGATGGAACCTCCTTAAGACAGAAACTTATAAAAGCTAGAAAACTGCAATTATTTTGGCATTATCATCAAATTTTTTCCAGAAAACATTCTGACTATGGCAGAACCTGTGAGAAAGTAAACAGAAAGCTATGTATGTTCAACATCTGTTAATTCATATCAGTTATAACCTGTCAAAGATGGAATTTAAACAGGTATGGAATAGAAAAGTCTGAAATTATTTCAGACTTTTCTATTCCAGATTTGTCTTCATTAGGAATGAAGACAAATCTACAAATCTAATGTTGATGGATTTGTCTTCATTAGGAATGAAGACAAATCCATCAACATTTATTTAGTTTAATTAAATATTATCAAATATATAATTTCCTAAAATCCATTACTTTACCTGACATTTTTGAAGACATGAGATAAATGGTTTAGGTCTATAAACATGCTAAAACATAAAATACAATTAATATGATTGTTGTTTGATATTTGACTCTTGTCAAAATAGAATTATTAAAAATTCATAAACTAATAAATAATCTTGAACATGTACAATAAATCTTGCAACAAATTTAGACTTAAATATCTTTTTGATTCTGTATAGACAGGTGAATAGTTTCTGCCATTTTTTTTAATCTAGATGGGACCTGGTGACTAAAGTGAATGTCATTGTTATCAACCTCCTATTGGCTACATTTCAAATAAAAATTTTTTTAGTATGTAAAAAGAAAATTGTTCTACTTGAATTTGTGTTCAATTTTGATAAAATCATCAGGAAATGTTGTTTTCTGTTTGTCTGTATTTATAACATATTTCACACGTGTTCCTGGCCTAAGTCCATTTTGGTTTTAAATCAACAGGAAGATTGCTCTACTGATTTAAAACCATTCTCAATGCATTGACAATTTTTAAAAAATAACATATAATAGTCAGTATTTTCAGTAATTATGTCTAAAATAAATGCAGAAAGTGCTTGAGAATATCAAGTTTAAATTGAGAATAAATCAGGATGGCATCTTGAGTCCACATTTTTAGAGAAGTTTTACTTTGAATACACCTGCTTGTCACACACACTTTCATGTACATATTCTCAAACAAACAAGAAAGTGTATTTTCTTTTTTTTCTCCCTTTTCCTTTTTGAGGTCATTTCAATAAATATTACAAATACTATAATTAGATTGAAACTTAGAAATGTTTTTCTTCAAGATTTGTTTTACCTTATTCTTGCCTGCCTACGATGGAAAACCTGATTAAGCTAGAAAGTTTATAGAGTCCTACATAGTTCTACCTTTTGCAAATTTCACTGTATTTTGTTATCTTGTTTAAAAAATACTAATATTATATACTATTTTAATGAATCTGAAACAAAAGCAAATGGCAGACAATACAGAGATTTTAAGTTTAAATTTATAAATTTAATTTTAACAAACATTAAATCATGTTATAAATGTGTCAAGATCAATTAATTTTAATTATTTATTAACCTGGTTTTGGTGCATATATTCTGTAATAACTATCAGCATCCCAGTTTGAAGGCATAGGAGGCGGTGGACCAACAACTGGTTCTATAAAATAAATATATTTAATTACTCTTAAAATATCAGATAATTTAACATACATATGTATACAGTAGAGCATCAATTAACTAAAACGTCAATTAACCGAAAGCTTTCCAGTTGGCAAATTTAAATTTCCTCTAGTGCTATGGCACTGCAATTTTTGGTTATGTCTTGGGCTATTCCAATATTATTTTTGTTGGGCTGCATGTTTTAGCTGGCAGCTCTGGCATGACCATGAGATGATACTTAAGGACATGCCAGGATTTGAACGAATTTCAACATGGGATAAGTTAATACATTTTTTCATACATAATCAGTTATCCGAAAAATTGATTTTTCGAGCAACCCCAGTCCCCAATTGATTCGGATAATCGATGCTCTACTGTAACTCTAAATTTTGCAGTTTTTCAACAATAGAATATTCCTATTTCATTAAACACATTCTATTTGGGATCTTAAGCAGATATGTAAAATTCCAAATAATTGAATAAAATAGGAAATTTTCAGATTCCTTTTCCTGAAATTATGGTTTCACATTTAATTACCTATGATTGTACCCACAATATATATATAAAGATATGAATTCAAAAAAATTATTTTACCTTGAGGCTTTTGTGGAGCAGGTTTGCAAAGACCTGGTAATGGTATTTCTCCACCTTTCTGAATATTTTGATACCACTGTTTTTGTTGTTGAGGATCTAATGTGTGCTGTTTTCCTGTTTTACGAACTAATGTCGAATCTGAATCGTATCCATCATTATACACACTGTAAGCACATCAAAGAAATACAATGTTAAATCTTCATCGTCAAAAATTTTATTTGAATAAACTACTGAATTTAAAATTTAATATATTTTATTTTATATAAATATTATTGCCAAAATATTGAAATGTTTATTTTAATTATTCATTTCAAATACAAAATATATAATTTTATGAAAGAATATACAGTTTCTTTTAATATCAACAACTTTTTCAGATAAATACACAAACATTTAGAACATAAAGTTTATTCAAGAATAAATATTTTAAAACTGGTTTCTGTCATCATTAGATTTTCAAAAGAATTCAATCCTACTTTTTTCATTCTGAAGAATAAATAAATCTTCATAATATTAATCTATTGGATTACGACTTAGTAGCAGCATAACAGATCAAAATCCTGTTCTAAAAGAAGAAAATGAACAACGTACACTAAAGCTGTGGTCACACCATGTGATTTCCAGCCACACAGGCAACCAACTGCAATGACTGTTCTTGTTAACTAGTAAACCCCTTTGAAAACTGGCGCAACTGCAACCATGACTAGAAACAAAAAGTTTGTTTTACTCGTGTCAATTGCAAACATGCATCCAATCAGCAAATGCCTTTGTGCCACGTCATATGGTGACAACATTGAAAATAGTTCATCATCAAGGAGGAAAGTAAGAAGATTGATACTTTTACAGAATCAAGATTGATCAAGCTTATTCAGTCTCATGAATGCTTGTGGGGTTTTACTTCTTCGTTTTATTGAAGATTTTATCTCTTTGTGTATTCTTGCTAGTTCTATAAAAATAATCACCTTTTTTCTTTTATTCATTGCAGAAAAGGAACTGCTTGCCATTTTAATAAGAAAAGTGGCAAAAATTCCATAAATACTATGAGGTAGAACATTAACTGTTGGTAAACTCAAGTGGTCAAAAACAAGCTACTGTAATTTTATTGGTTATTATGAGTTCATGTGTTTTCAAGTTGCAATGCTAATGTGACCACGACAACACGTGCGTGACTCGCGCTTGTTGCAGTTATGGTCACCTGCATGGCTGGAAATTGCAAGGTGTGACCACGGCTTAAAGAATTTGAAGATGTCAAAAAGAAGAACAGAAAAGGCAGGCTTCTTTATGTCTAATATTTATTTAAGGAGAAGACCATGTTGGATGAGATGATCAAAACATATTTTTCTAATAAATAAGAGCTTAATTAAATTTTTCAATTATGAAATTATTCTTGATGATAATCTATATTTCTGATTTTGTATCAAAAGTCTCATTAAAAATTACTTTATAGAAAAGTTGTAGATCTACTAATATGAATTTTTCTGTTTGATATTAATCATGCAATCCATTATCGTCTTTAAAAGTTTCTCAAAACCTAATAAGCACTTCACTTTCCATAAATTATTGTTTTCTTGCATTGATAATCAATAGTATCATCATCATACAATAGTAAAATTATCATTACTATGAATGTTTCATTTTGTGATAACTACTAAAATGAAAGGAAACTAATTGTAAAATTTAAACATTTGTTTGCCTACACCCTAGTCTTCCCAAATAGATAATTATCTACATAAGTACCAAGTACATATAATGCATTATATTTTTGACTTTTAAGATTACATGCAATTTCTAATAAATTTTCTCATTTTTACTACAACACCCAGAAAACATACTAAGAGGTTGAGGTAAAGTGAAATACAGCAAAAGTTTTTGAACAGATTAGTGAAGGCGTAAATTGTATGATGATATAAATTTAGTAGAGAAACACAAATAATAAATGAAATGGGAAAGTTTTCATATCAATACGGAAATGGGTTACAGAAAAGAAAATAGTATAATCAAATAATAAGAGCAAATTTTAAAAATCCGTAATTTAAAAGAATTTATATATTTTTTATAATTAAAAATAAAATAATCCAGTAGAGTGCACTTAAACAATCTTTGTTTTAATTCATTGCATTCTATAAACAGACATTTGAATTAGATGGAACTTCTTTAAATGATTTCAAATTCTCAAAAGATTCAAATTAAAATTTAAGTTATTTTTTGAGGATGGTTCAAAAGGTCTGAAATTAGTAGAGAAACTTAGAAAGGTATGTTTTTATTAATATATCTTATAAAGGTCAGTTCTCCAATTTATGACATTTTGAAAATTGGAAATTCTGATACAAACTAAAAACCCTTACTATTATTTACTTTAATTTATTTTTAGTGTTGCAACGAATAGTATATTCGGCCAGGAGCGTGGCCATATAGCTGAATATTTGGCTAAACTATTTGGCTTGATTAATGCACGTAGGAAAATTGGCACGCAAATCGCATTAAGGCAAGGACCTGCTCTCCATTGGCCCAGTGTCACTACGCTTTGCCAATCGCGTTAATTCTTGACAGTTGTAGCGGACAGACAAGAGCATCATGGCAGTATGTGATAAATGATGATATCATATGTGAATAACAATGAAATGACCTACACGTGTAAATAATGGAAAAAGAAGAGAGAAGGACTGCGAAGTGAAAATGTGAAAATAAATATGAAATTGAGTTGATAACATAATCGAACAAGTCGAAGCAGCTTATTTGCGCAAAATTTGCGGCCGTCAATGCCAAACAAGTGTTGTCATAGACTTCGGAAAGCTAAATAAATGCTTGTCATGAGAGTCACTTAGCATGCATGGGCAAAAGCCTGGGACCGTTCGGGCTATCAAGCTGTCTCGAATCTGTGAAATCATAACTGTAACATATACCGACATCCTATGTCTCTCTTTTCTCCGTTATCACCAGGCTGAGTCACGTAATTATAAAATGGAAAAACTATGAATCGAAAGTATCATGAGTGCGTATTATGATGTATGCATAGGCATATGTGGACTAGAGAGATAGAGGAAAGAGAAAGGAAAGAGCAAAGACGAGCGCTTAAAAAGGATAGACAGGATCAGACCCTCAGATGCGTGTGACAATTCTCGAACAAATAAGTGTGTACATGTGCTAATATTTGTAATTATAAATTGTAAATACATGTGACTAATATTATTTTTATTATTTTGTGCATGTTATAAGTTATAAATAAATATAAACAAACATCACTAACCCGATAACATTAAATCTAAATACCAAAATGATTAATTTACTGTGTTTTTATTATTTCTTACTCCTGTTTTTAGGTATTCGGTATTCGGCCAAATAACGAATACCTAAAAACCGAATATTCATTACATCACTATTTATTTTATATTTAATGTGTATTCTAAAAGTTTAGATTAAGCATGTAAAAATGTATAACAAACATCATGAAGCCCAATATGTATATAGAAATATCACCAAAAGATCACCTAAATAATTGAACTAAATTATTTATTAAATTATTAAAATTATAATTATTAATTTAGTTAAGAAATGGTGCCTAACATCTACCTCTAGTAACAAATTACTTAATATTAATCATTTAAATTAGCAGAATTATAGTCCAATTATTTAGGTGATCATTTGGTGATTTTTAAAAGTGTACAGAATATTTTAGTACTTACTATTTTGGTTGTGGAGTGATCAAAGGTGGAAGATATCTTGCATTTGTCTGAAAATTAAATAATACATATTAAAAATTTTATATTTTCATTGACACTCAGAACGTTTATATTATTGAATGAAAACTTTTCAATAAGATTTAAATATATACAGTAGAGCGTCGATTTTCCAAATCATTTGGGGACTGGTTGTTCATATAACTGATATTTCGGATAACCGATTTATGTACAAAAAAGTAGTTTAACGTATCCGATGTTAAAATTTTTATCCGTTGCGTGTCGCTTTGCGTTGAATTTTTGTCAATGTTAAGCCTAACAAAGACTATTGTATCATTAAAAATTATTTTTTTATTTTGTACAAACAAAATAAATATATTGAAAAATATAAAAACAATAAAAAATTATACTTCAGATGTTAATTTAGTATCAAAAACGTAAAATATTTGAGTAGCCCAAGACATAGCCAAAGATTGAAGCGCCACAGCACTGGCGAAAATTTAAATTTGCCGACTGGAATTCTTTCAGATGATTGACGTTTCGGATTATTGACTTTCGGAAAATCGACACACTACTGTATAAATTGAATTTCTAATTAAATTTTATTCTTTGCTGGGATTTTAGCTGTTGTGTCAAAAAGTATAGATATTTAAAATAGAGGGTTAGAAATTCATTTGCATAAATGAGGTACATTTCATAACTTACTGGGCTGAAATTTTCAAATTGAAGAACTACAAATTCCTACTGTCATCTGTTTATCCATCCTTTGTTAATTTCGAGAACAGAATTAGACAGATGAAAATCAAAACCAGATATAGAAGGCTTAGGGGCTGGTAGTCTCAATTAACTATATAAGAACTTCTGGTCTAGACCAGAAGTATCATGATTTCAATTCAAAATTTTTATCTTACTATACAGACTAATAAATTTGGTGTAGAATTGATACTTATGACAAACTATAATATATAACTTGACTCTCTATGATGTACAATATTCATTTCTTGTTCAAATTGTGATCTCACATTTTCTATGATAAAAATCATGTGAAAAATAAAATCACCATAGAGAAAAAGTAATCACAGTTTTAGATTAATGTCAAAAGTTATACTTATTTTTAAATTAAAATACAATTAAAAATTGGAGCCTGACATTATTACAATGTCACAATAATCTTTTATTTTTATCTTACACAAAAGTGCTTTTATATAAAGAAAGCATTCTTAATTTTATAACAAGAGGCAGCAACTTCCCAGATTTATAAGATCTTGTTCTGTTATAATTATGTACTATATTCAGAACTATTACAGAAATGCAAATTTCATTAACAATTTTTATGTAGAATATTTTATGAAATTTATATAATTCCATTGATATGATTACATTTCACTTAGTCATTAATATTTTAAGGATAACTAAGGATTAATCCAAATTATATCTTTAAGTAATAAATAATTTTATACTAATATATCAATATAGTGATGCTATCTGTATACTTACATATGAATTTTCATTATTGGCTATAGAAGAGTAACCAGGTTCATAATCTGATATAATCCATGGTTTATGATTATAAGTTTGGATAGTAGATTTGGCAGCAGGAAAGGAATATGATGGTCTGCAATATTTTAAAAATTATATTTTTATTTGCAAATAATGATGTTGCATTGTATTATTTATATATTGCAAGTCAAAAGCTCAATGACTGAAATTTGAGTTACAGTATGATATTCCTTTATGTCATATTACAGCAATAATTACATTAAATCTCTTACATCTAATTCAAAAGCTTAACAAATAAATCTGATAATCATTATTGCTTTTTATTCAAAATTTTAATTCTAACTGTAATATATATTTTATTTAATTCTCAAAATAAAAGTGTTTCTAATATTATCTTCTGTCATCTACAAAACAATAAAGAAAAAAAAATATTAAACTAGCAACAAATATTCTTAACTTACTTTTCTGCTTCTTTCAAAGATTTTTCTTTTGCTTTATTAGTCACTAGAGTTTTACTTTTATTTTTTATGCTTGAAGACTTTTCTGAATACAATAATGATGATAAATACATTTTATTAACATTTAAAATAATTAACAAATTAGAAGTTGTTATAGTTTCAAATTTTAAACAAAAAAAATTAAATGTTTTATGAACATAAATAAATTGTTCACAAAATGTATAAAATTCAACATAGGCAATAAAAATAATCAATAAATAGACAGCTTGATTCATGTGATAATTCATATGAATTGAGCTGTCTATTCATTTTTACTTTTACTTTATGAAACATTTTCCATCATAATCTGACATCTTCAGCTCAACAATGTTTACAAATAACAGGAATAAAATGACTTTGAACAATTTATTAGAACAATAATAACAATAATATCAACTTAATAAATAAATTAAATAAATATTATTTACAATCCAGATATTTAATTTACTTACAATCTTAATAATGACAAAAATTAATTCATTACAAAACTTCTTTGAATTCTAAACTAAGTTCTTACAAAGAGGAAAAGTTTAAAGTATTACAAAATATATTTTCTGCTAAGATATGGTTTAGTAATATTTAATAAATATTGTTCAAATTCAATACATATTAACAATGAATAAACTAGTTAAGAGATTAAATTTATAATTGTTTTAATGGATAATTTTTATTTTCAACTTGATAAAAATATTATTTTTATTGTAAATATGTAAATTTTATTTATAAATCAATACCTTATCAACATTTAAGGTTTAATTATTGATGAAATTTTATTAATTAAGGTAACTTTTCTTACATAAATACAAAAAATATTTATTGTATCTAATAATAATTATAAATGCACAGTGTATTTATAAATATATTTTATTGCTATTAACAATGATTATTGATTAAGTATTTAATATTATGTTTTAATATTAAATAAATTTTTTTTACCTTTTCTGTTCAATTCTGGGTCAGACATATAACCATCACTTTGAAACTTCAAACCTAGAATTTTAATAATTTATTGAAGTATTACTACAAATGGTTGAATAATTAAATTTAATTGAACCCCTTAAACAATTACTGAATATACCATTTCAGCATGTGAAATTATCAATATTGAAATAACTATTTAAAAATTTAATTTAAAACTGTATAAGTTTTATTGTAAAGTTATTTCATGCACAATTTACTTTAAAAATAATAGAATGAAATATTTAAAATACTAAATATTCATTTAACTTTTTTAATATTTTAATTAAGAAATTGTATTAACAAGAAATAATTTAAAACTTTGTTATCTACAAATAGGATGTTCTCAATAATAATTCTAGAAATTATTATTAAGAACATCCTATTTATAGATAACATCTATTAATAAATTTAAATTTTTAATTTTATATTCAATTTAAAAAAATAAGTTGTAAATTAATTAAAAATGTATATGTAAAATAAAATTATTTTGTATAATATAATATTGTGTAATGATAAAAATATATTTTAAAATTTTTAAAAATTAATTTTGAATTGAACTTTCTTATTATTAAACTAGACTTAATTATTTTTATAAATTAAAATAGTAAATTTTAATTTATTCTTATTTAAAAATTCATCATTAAATTAAAAACAATATATGAAAATTGCTTTTAAGCACCTCTTAAAATGATTTCAATATTAAATTTTCATTCTGAATTTACTAAGGTTTGACATTTTCAATCAATACTGATCTTCATCAGGTAGTTAATCAATCATTTGGCAATTATGTAATAATATATATTAATTTTAAATTTTATACTGCATTCTTTGGCACATTACATTACTATTGACTTTTTTAATCAAAGTTTTACAGAACACTAATTAACAACCTGATGAAGATCAGTATTGGAATGTGTCAATAGTAATGGAATGCTCTAAAGAACATGCTTAAAAATTTTAAACTAATATTTTTACTATATCATTACATAATTGCCAAATGATTGATTAACTACATGATGAAAATCAGTATTGATTGAAAACTTTAGTCAAAATGTTTTCAATATTAAATTAAATTTTTATTCTGGATTTACTATTATCCAGTTATTAGTTATTATTTATCCAGTTAGTAGCATTTGTTAAATTGGAACTGTTTTTAATTTTAAAATTTCAAAAATAATTATAAAATATTAATTATGAAAAAACATTAAAAATTAATGTTTATATTTAATTATTTAATTTTATCTTTACAATTATTGATTGATTAATGATCTACAATGTATTAAATATTTTTTAGAATTTATACCAGCTATTAACATATTAAAGTTTGTATTTTATTCAAATTCAAATATTATATCATAAAAGCAAATTACCTTCATTACTATCACACTTGTGTAAAGATCTGAACATTGTCTTATACCAATCACTGCCATACTCTTTCTTAATTGACTATTTAAAATTCATATTGTTAGTTTTTGATAGTAACTTAATTAATGTCACTTTAAATCTAATAATCTTTACCGTCCGTAAACCAATAGGAACTCCATCTTCAGTGGGGCCAATTCCTTCATATGTTGGTGCTTTAATTATTGTTTTTGTACTTGTAACTTTATCATAAGGCATTGCATAATATGTATCTTGATGAATGTTTCCATCTTTAATTGTAACTTTCTGATCAACAATAACAGCTTCTTTAGGAGGTGGTTTATCTGTATAAAAAATAAAGATTCATTATTATTTACAAAGATATTAAATGATAAACATCTTGGAATATGTATTCCAAAATTAAGTCATATTTAGTAAATTTATTCTCCATAAAACATTAAAAATATTGTTAAATCAATTTAATAAATTCAACACCATTTTAATGAATATATTGGTAAGAATATCAGTAATGTATATGCACAATATTTTATTTTTTAAAATTATTTCTCCAGAAAAACTTATATCATCTTACCATTAAATTAAAAATGATATTAATATTTCTTATTATCTCTATTAAGTCACTCAAGTTACTGTATTGTATATCAAGTAATATATTGATAAAAATTAGAAAATCAATACTATTTTCAGTTCTAATTAATTGATTTATAAGATAACAAGATATTAATTATTAATTTTAATAATGTATTGAAAGTTTGTTATTGTTTCATACATCTATTATCTACATTTAATTACTAAAACAATTTATTTATTAAAGTATTAAATTATCATCTTTAATGAACTTAGAATTATTCTCTTAAGCAAATTTAGAATAATGATGATTAATAAGGAAATTCAAACTAAAGTTATTAAAGTACAGTAGAATCCACTTATCATAATCATTTTTGGAACTTGCTTGTACTGATAATATTAACCATCTGAAAACATTAAGAGTAAAGTAAACAAGACTGAAATAAGTAGACATTCTGGTTTTATTGACTCTGATATTAAAAGATTAACACAAGTAAATATATATATATATAAGTTGAATATTTATTAATTATAATTAATTATTATTGTTAATTAATAATAATTCATCCCACGTTTACCTGCCATTTTTTGCAATATCATCTTTAACACACACAGATAGTGTATGTTGAAGTAAGAAATGCCAATAAATTAAATTACTGCACTACAAGCAAATAACAATTAAAACAATTAATGTGTAATGCACTGGTTAAGATTGATAATTGTGAATTATGAACTATATATGTTGAGGCTGAGAGTGCACAATATAATTTAAAAAACACAAGTTAGTTATCATTATCTTCAGGTAAATAACTGAAACCCTGATCACAGAAATAAAAGTTTTATAAGAGTATTTTAACTTGCATTTTTGTAACATGCTTATTTGATAACATTATCATGTTATATACTGATGATAATATCTGTGATTACATTAAGAAGATTCTACTGTACACCTGTTCCATTTAAAATGCATAATATTCAGTGTTTACTTATATAATATATACTTCAAATATCTTTCACAAATGAAAACATAAGAGGCATTTTTCACAATTAAATCATCATTCAATAATAAATAAATACAATTATGATATATTTGGATTATCTGTTGAATTTAAGTAATAAGCTACTAAAACGTACTTAACTTTTTAATCTGAAATCAGAATAATGTTATTTGAACAGCACACAATTGGGGACAG